AGCTAAATATGTTTAACATGTGAATTCTTGCTAAATATGCAGTTATATTACGGGTCGTTGCTGGCATGAATTGTACTCGTGATGGAGCGCTCTTGGATCGAATGAAAACCACGACGTTCCGACTTTTAAAAAATCCGCTCCTTGCTCCAGTCAAAACTCACGCCGCTCCGCTCACATACTCTGATTGTGAGTAACTGTTGCTGTCACGACAGATCTATTTCAGAACCAGCCGCTATCAAAATGATCTGGCTGCGGACGCGGGCCAGATATTATTGCTGGCGGGCCACTTTTGGCCCGCGGGCTTGCCTGTTGCCGACCACTGCTCTACAAGCTGAGTTTGACACCCCTGTTTTAGACATGAATGGCAGATTGGGGCCATTGTTGCTTTCTGTTCTACTGTTGCTTTTAAACAGGGGTTAACTTGTATTTTTCTCTTTTCGCCCTAGACCTGAAAGAGGAGCGTGAAGAACTGAATGAAATACAAGATAAAGATCAGTACAAGAAACATCATGATTTCATTACTAGACAAACATTTAGTTGCTCACAGACAGCAAAGACTTCCTCACAAAAAAGAGCTAAAAAGACTAGATCTAGAGATCATTTCACCTGCAAACAGTGTGGAAAGAGTTTCAACCTTCAAGGAAAACTTAAGGTCCACATGAGGATTCACACTGGAGAGAAGCCTTTCATCTGCCAACAGTGTGGAAAGAGTTTCAGTGAACATGGAAACCTTAAAGACCACATGAGGATTCACACCGAGGAGAAGCCTTACACCTGCTCTCAATGTGGAAAGAGTTTTACACATAAAAGCACTTTTAATGCCCACATGACAATTCACACAGGAGAGAAGCCTTACACCTGCAAACTGTGTGGAAATAATTTTGTTGGGAAAGGAAGCTTTAACATGCACATAAGGATTCACACTGGAGAGAAGCCTTACTCCTGCCCTCAATGTGGAAAGAGTTTTACTCAACAAGGAAACTTTAACAGGCACAAGAGAATACACACTGGAGAGAAGCCGTTCACATGCAAACTGTGTGGAAACAGTTTCACACGACAAACAAGCTTTAAAGGGCACATGAGAATTCACACCAGAGAGAAGCATTAAACCTGCAATCTGTGTGGAAGAACTTCCCAACAAAACTAATCCTTAACTATCACATGAACAGTCACACTGGTGAGAAGCCGTCTACATGTGATCACTGTGGAAAGAGCTTCAGGCATAAAGCAACCGTTAATAAGCACATGAGGCTTCACACTGGAGAGAGACCTCAAACATCATTGTGGCAAGCAGGGCGGGGCTGAGGGCCGTGGGTAGGGAGTGAGTCCTCGAGTTTCATGGAAGGTTCCCACTTTCTTGCTCTGTTCATCCATGAAACTCGAGGCCTCACTCCCTTCTCACGGCTCTCAGCCCTGCCCTGCTTGCCACATGTAAATTGTCAGTTTGTGATGTAAAGTTTTGGAGCGAATCAGACACCGAAGACTTGACCAGGGCTGTGTTTCCCAGATGCTTACGATGCTTTTGGGAAACGCAGCCCAGAATTGTGTCGAAACAACGCAAAGAACTGAATTTCACAAGATGCCCCGAGTCTCACACTGGATGACCATAAAACTGAGATCTGTCAGTTGACACCACAAAGCCTGAGTTAACTAGTTACTCCTCTATGGGTGACTGTATAAACTGGCGTAAGAACTCCTCCAGCGTTGTCAACTTTTGGCAGATAACCCAAGATAAATGGGTCTGGAGACAGCATATTCTGAATCTCACAGGGAAAATCATAAGACCTAAAACCAGACTTCCTTTTGACCTCTTCCTTGCTTGCATGACTGGAATCCTCTCTAAAACCCACAGAGACTGTTTTTACAAATATCAAAATGCTTCAGATCATAACAAAATGAGACTAAGGGTGCTTTCACACCTGGCCTGTTGTTTCGGAACCTGGCTCGTTTCCACTGAAAATAATTACTTTGACTAAATCCATATAATGTCTGACTGTCACCCACATAATATGCTATTATCCAAGATTAATGCCATTATGAATAACAATCAAATCGTTTATAGTGAGTATATGGTTCTGGTATGATGTGAATGAAAATTCTTGTTCCGAAGTCAGTTCTTTGTAAAATTATATCATATTCTCATTATAGTAATCAAAGTCTAAAATATATTTCACAAGAGTGTGAAAATCTGAATCATGTGAGTGAGAAGATAACATTTTGATTTATATAAGGGGAGGAGAAACATAGCTACACCCCAAGCTAAACCAATGTCTATTTGGTCAGAAACCTGTTGGGAATGAGTTAAACAGTTGAGTTTAAAAACTCATGATGAACAAAAGCTGTCCACCTCCTGTTTGTCTGCATTCACACTGCTTACCTGCTCCTGGCCTGCTGCTCATCTACCATCATGAAGAAGCCATCTAGTCTTGTCTCACTCTTTTTTTTGTTTAATTTTCTTTCTTTCTTTTAATTTGTTTAATTTCTGTCGAGTCTCATTTTCTAAGTTAAGTTTTTGCCAGCCTCAAACTTAACCCAGCCTACAGGACTCCACTTCCATCCTTAAGCTAACATCCATAGCCTCATTGAAAACTCAATGTGATGGTTGAATGAATGATTGATGGTTGTTCAGGTCTAAAAAAAAGAGAGATTAGTTTATATAAATTAGGTTTTTTCAATTTTCTCATTTTTAAATAACGTTACTTATCTTGTGTTTTTCATTTGTATTTAAAGAGAATTATCTTGTGTTTTGTGAGAACACTTTATAATCTTAGGGTGTGTTCACACTTGTCATGTTTGGTTAGATTAAAACGAACTCTGGTGTGATTGCTCTGTTAGTGCGGTTCATCTGAGTAAGTGTGAACGCTGCCATCCAAACCTTGGTGCGCACCAAACAAACGGACCGAGACCGCTAAAAAGATCTCCAAACAAACTCTGGTGCGGTTTTAATGAAATATGAATGCAACACGGACCAAATACTTCTAAACTAACCAAAAACATTATGTAATGACAAGATACGACATAAACATTATGTAATGACAAGATACGACATGATTGGATGACGTGGAACGAGCAGTGTATCCAAAACAAAATTAGCAGAGGGCAAACGTGGAGCAACGAGGATATAAAGTGCCTTTTATGAGCTCTTCACGAGTTCACAGGTGGTGAAAATAAAATCATAAGTACATGCAACAATGAACATGCTTAGTCCACCACATGCCATTAGGTGTATTCGACTTAAAGTCCCCATGAATCAAAATTAATTAAAGTTTTGGTGTTAGTATCAATATATTAGTCTTATTATAGACCCCGAGGGACGTTTTATTACCATAAACATTTCAATCGATAATAGCCCAGTTACAATTGGAAATCTATATGGCCCAAACACAGACGACCCATCTTTTTTTCAAAACTTCTTTTCCTCCATCTCAAATCTT